AGTAGGGGGCCTGCAGGAGGCAGCCAATCAGTGATCCTCTCTCATCATTGATGTTTCTATTTCTCTCTCCCTCTCCTGTTCTCTCTAAAATCAATAAAATATATTTTTTAAAAAATGGTCATGACCATTTGTTATAAAGGTAGTTGTACAAGGTTACAGTTCCCATTAGCAGTGTATAAGAATGCCTGTTCCATATCCTTTTTTTTTTTTTTACTTTTTTATTGAATTTATTGGAGGTGACATCCTATCTAATAATAGACAAACATGGTAATTGACCGTACCTTCGCCACGCCTCCCATTGGCTAATCAGCGAGCTATGCAAATTAACCACCAAACAAAGATGGCGGTTAATTTGCATACGTAGGTGCGAAGCGGCGGAGCGAAGACTGAAGGCGGCTCCGGCCGGAGCAGCGAAGGCTCGAAGGCGGCTCCGGCCGGAGTGAAGGCCTGGGTCCCGGCTGCCGGAGGAAAACCGGTGCCGGCAGCCAGGGGAAGGGAAGGCCTATTGCACGAATCTTTTCGTGCAACAGGCCTCTAGTTGGTTAATAAAAATACAGATTTCAGGTGTACAATTCTATAAGACATCTCTGTGTTGTTGTATTGTGCGTTCAACCACCTCAAGTCCTGTTCTGTATCTTTACCAATCTATATAATAAAAGCCTAAGCGACCTTTATTGCGGAATGACCAGAATGACCAGTCACTATGTGCGCTGACCACCAGGGGGCATATGCTCAACGCAGGAGCTTCCCCCTGGTGGTCAGTGTGCTCCCACAGGGGGAGTGCTGCTCAGCCAGAAGCCGGGCTCATGGCTGATGAGCGCAGCGGTGGTGGTGGCAGCACCAAGGAGCAGTGAACTGAGTGGTAAGGAGCAGTGAGCAGGCAGGCGGTAAGGAGTGAGGGGTCCCAGACTGCAAGAGGGCGCAGGCTGGGCTGAGGAACCCCCCCTCCCCAGTGCACGAATTTTGTGCACTGGGCCTCTAGTACTGATATAATGGGGCTTCTTAATTGTTTTCAGTCAAGGAGTTGTAAAATGGTAATTCATTGTGGTCTTAATTTGCATTTCCCCAGTTTCTAATGAGGCTGAGCATCTTATATGATTATTCACCACTTGTATTTTCTGTGAAATGCTTGTTTTGTCTTTTGGCCATTTTTCTGTTAGGCTGTTTTGCTATTAATTTTTACTTTATTCTAGGTACTAATTCTGTAGTGCTTGCTTGTAGTAATTAATTATCTTCTAATTTGTAGCTTATTTCCTTTATGGAGTCTTGATAAATGGAAATTCATAATTTTAATGTATTTTTTAAAAATGTTAGCACTTTTAAAAATATGATTTGTTAATATAGTTTCCTTCCCAGAGATTATAATCCCCTGTGTTCTGAAGTTTTTATGTCTTACGTTTCACATTTAAACATTTTTATATATGCTGAAGGTAGAATTCCAATTTCATATCTTTTCATATGAATATCCCAATTGTTCCAGCCCTATTTATTGAATATCCATGCTTTCCCCATGGATCTGCAGTGCTACCATGTCATATCTCAAGTTTGCATGGATCTCTTTCTCATCCCTCTATTCTTACATTGATCTGTTGCCTCTTACTAACTCCATTCCACACTATCTTTAATTACTATAGCATTATAATTTTAAGTCTTGGTGGTATTTGGTATAGGGCATGTTATCCTACCTTATTCTTCAGGAAGGTGTTGGATGTTCTTGGATTTTTGCTTATCAATATAAATTTAGGATCATCTTGTCAAATTTCTTGAAAAATTATGTTGGGATTTTTCTTACAATTGCTTTGTATTTATAGATTAGTTTGGAGAGAATTATAGTTATGTTTTTGTGCCTTATAGATGAATGTGAAATACCTCCGTTTAAGTTTTTTTTTATATTTTTTAAGACAGTCTTGTAGTGTTCTGGTTTGGCACTTGTTCATCCTTAGTTAGATTTGTTTTTTGTTGCTGATCTCTACTTAAGTAGCCACCTTGCTAAACTTTGTTATTTCTAACAATGTCTCTAGATTATTTTGAGTTTTCTAGGTATACCATCATATCATCTAAAAATATCAGTTTTGTTCCTTCCTTTTCAGTCTTTTTAGCTGTCTTTCTTATGGAACTATATTGACCAGGACCTATAATACAATACTGAGAAAACAGTGTTCTTTGCCTTAAAGGTACTGCTACTTAACATTTTACTATAAAACATTATTGCTTTTAATAGGCTTAACTAAGTAAAAGGAGGTGGGAAATATCCCTTCAGTTGGGAAATTAATCCCTTTTTTGGGGATTTCAGAAACAAATTTTGAAGTTTTAGTTAACAAATGATTTTTATTAACGTCACTTTAATTTCTTTTTTAATTGCAGGTTTGCTGTTGCTGAGTCTGATTGTAGTTTAGCAATTGCCTTGAATAGGAGTTATACAAAGGCTTATGCAAGACGAGGTGCTGCTCGATTTGCTTTGCAAAAATTAGAGGATGCCAAAAAAGGTATTAATATTTTCCAGATCATCGTTATCTAAAATAAAATCTTTAATCATTTAATTTAATAGATGTTATACAAAGAATATTGGATAATCAGAGTTATTACCTTCAGAGAGTTTTCTGTATATGAATAAAGTTCATTTTTGTAATTTAAAAAGTTACCTTGATATTTTTGGAAAGAATGCATTATTTGCCAGCAATGAAATTTTGGTTCAAATTCTCATTCCACCATGTATTAGCTGTGTGACCAGGGAAAGGTTATGTATCGTCTCTGGTTTTCAGTTTCTCATCTGTAGAATAGATGTTGGCTATTGTGAGGTTATAGTTAATGATTGTAAAGCTCTTAATATATTTTTATTTATTTGTAATTTGTCAGCATTTTATTATTCCATAAAATTGGTATGTGAAATATAAATTATAGTCTGAATAAAGATGATATCTAAAAGATTCTTAAGCTTTTTGGTTTTATGATATATGAATTATCATAGCAAGAATCCTTCCTGGTGGAAGAAACGGATCTGTCAGGATTTTGTTTGTCTTCGGAGAGAATAGAGTGAGCCCAGTAGTCTAATGTTAATATTTCTTAGTTTTTCTTAATTTTGCTATTGGACAGTTGTCTATTTGTCACATGTTGCAGCAAGTAATTATTGTTTTTAAATATGTACCTTTCAAGTATTTTTTATCCTCTCTTTTACTCAGATTATGAAAAAGTATTAGAACTGGAACCAAATAACTTTGAAGCAACAAATGAACTCAAGAAAATTGATCAGGTAAACTAGTTACTTAAATTAACTTCATTACTTATTAGCTTTATATGATGAAGTAAGAGTTTTAGCATAGACTTTGTACTATAGATTATTTAATATAGACATTATTCTAATTTTAATTTTTTGTACTATAGACTTTTACCAAACAACTTGCAAATAAGAGGTAGTATAGTGGTATTTAAAGATCCTTAATCATCATTTTAAAAAGTTGTCTGAGATCTTCAGAACTACTGTGCTTTACTTTTTTTTCCCCAGGTGACAGAATTATTTTTCATTATCCTACTAATTTTCTTTTGTTTTGCTTTGTTTTGGCTTGTGTTTTGATTTCTGTACTAAACTTTTGCATATTTCTTTGATTTTTAAGTTGTTGCATCTTTGTAGTTTATATCATAGCATATTTATGTACTAATTTTTTAATAGTAAGAAAATAGTTATATAAATGTAAAATTTGCTTCAAATGATACTGAACAGTTACATATTCCTTTCACTTTGCTGTTGAATCAGTTATCATTATTTTGCCATCTATTGAAACTATGAGAAAAAAGTGACACTGATTAAGGAAAATCTGCTTTTAAATATGGCCATTAATTATTGCACATAAAAACCTGTTGGTAAATATATCAACTTGATTGTAATTGTGAACCGTGCTATATATTTTTGCATTTTGTCCTAAATCAAATAATGACTATGAAAATTAAATTTGAGAATTTGGTTATGTGGTCGTAATTACCTATTTTCTTTTTGAAAATAGTTTCTTGAACAGTAACTTGCCTGTGTAGAAATTCAATAAATATTTGTTGAATAAATAAACAAGCACCTACCTTTAGTGGATACTACTTATTTTAATTGGAATAAGATGCACATTAAATTTATTATAGTCTTTTGCCTTTTATTTAATAAGTAGAAAGACTTTGAATTAGTAAAAATATTATTTTGTGAAATGTAGCAAAAATTCCAATATATTTGAGTAATTTATTATTTTAGAGTCAAATATGTATGCATCTTGCATTACCTGTTTTAGTTTAGCTGCTATGTCTCCTAGGCTTTAACATCCAAAGAAAACTCACACCCAAAGGAAGCTGACACAGTGATTAAGTCACCTGAAGAAGAGAAAAAACAAATTGAAGAGCAGCAGAATAAGCAGCAGGCCATTTCAGAGAAAGATCGGGTAATCCACCATATATATGTTTTGCTGAGTTTACTCTTAGTTTCTTATATATCAGTTAAGGTTTTGTCTTTTCTAATATTACATTAAAATTCTTTTTTCAGTAGGAACTGAAAATTAAATAAATATAATAAAACTTCTGAAGCCTACTAGTTCAAAATTTGAGTAATTGATGACTTAATACATAATTTAAAAAACATTTAATTTTAGGGAACAAATTACTTTTGAGCATTTTTAAAAAAATATATTTTATTTCTTTTTTACAGAGAGGAAGGGAGAGAGATAGAGAGTTAGAAACATCGATGAGAGAGAAACATCGATCAGCTGCCTCCTGCACACCCCCTACTGGGGATGTGCCCGCAACCAAGGTACTTGCCCTTGACTGGAATTGAACCGGGACTTCGGTCCACAGGCTGACACTCTATCCACTGAGCTAAACCAGTCAGGGCT